CGACAGTGGAGAGGAAAAACTCCCTTTGAACAGGAAGAAACCTCCAGCAAAGTAAAAAGTAGCCTTTAAAAAAAAATACTCAAGAGTAAAAAAAGTATTTGGTAAAAGGCTTCTGATTTACTTACTACCCATGATTATTTTTATGAAAGGATGTAAATGCATTATGCAAATTCTGTCTTTTTTTTTCAAAAATAGGATAAAAATAAAAATTTAACATACAGTAATTTACAAAACATTTAGGCAAAATGAACACTTAAAATAAATTGAGGTATAAATATTTACAGTATGTAGATTAGGTTAATTTACTAATGGAGAATGAAGAACAAGGGGATGTTGGATACAAAACTTACGGTAAACTTGTTCCCCTCCCTGTCCTGCGTTGTGACCAATGAGCTAACAGCATATTTGTAACGGTCTAGAATCCCCTCATCCTATTGGTCAATGTAGTGGGGGACAATCGGAGGAATTTAAATGCTGACGCTTCTTTTAGGGGCGGTGCTTCGCATAGCGATGCTCCTCCTCCCAAAAAAAAAAAAAAGTATGCAGAAATATATGGAGGAAAGGGAAAAACCAAATACCTGTGTGGATACTGAATATAAAGACCACTGCAAATATGCATCTAATTCAATGATTTGATTCAGTAAAAAAAAAACATTTCACACACAAAGGGGGGCTAAAAAAATCACCACACCAGGAGGGGTGAAGGCCATCGGGTCAGCTGGGACGCACATGAGGGGTCCCTAATCCCCTCATCCAGCGTGCTCTGTGTTTGTGGAAGTAAACATGGATGGCAGCGCTGGAGCAAATCTAGCCATCTTTCCCAACCTTAAAAACTCAGCCTTTCCAAGATGGTTTGAAAAATAAAGAATGGTCTCCGCATCATCGTCCGCCATGGTTGTTGTTTTTCTTCCTGCTTCTATGTAGCAAGACGCAGAATAGTGACCTTTGCTGCGTGTCAAAGGAAAAGTCGGCCAGCAGGAATAATCAATGGATCATTATTTATACCTAAAACTAATACGTTCGCCGTCATTTAATGAATTCAGTGTTAATCAGTAAAAAAATGTTTGTTGCGATCACTGAGTTCGGGAGCGGCCATTTTTGCCCAAATATAGTAGCCCCTCCCTCCTGCCATCTTCCAGCAGTGACGTCAC